GCGCCCGGCGGTCCATGCCTCCGCCGCCGCCGCCCGCCGCCGGCGTCGCGATGGATTTCGGTCAGAACAGCCTTTTCGGCTACATGGAGGACCTACAGGAACTCACCATCATCGAGAGGCCGGTCCGCCGGAGCCTCAAGGTGCGCCCCGCGGAGAGGAACTGCCCTCGGGGCGCGGCCCGCCGACCCCGCCACCGTCCCGACCTCCTCTAGCGCCCGCGCCGTGTCACTCTCCGCCGGGTGCCCGGGCTCCCCTCGACGCGGCCCGGCTCCGAGTCCTGACCCCGTTCCCGAGGGACGGCCCCGTCCGTGCCCCTGCTCCGGCCCGGCCCCGCGACCGCGACCCTCCACAGGCTCCTTGTCCCCGAGAACCAGCGCGGCCCGGCAGCCGGCGACCTCCCCCTCGGGCCGCCCCTCCCCCGCCCGCCGGGGTCCCCTGGGCCCGGCCGCTTCCACCCCGGCCCACCCTTCGGTTGACACCTTCACCCCCGAACACCGGGGCCCATCCCCTTCCCGCCGCGCTGCCGACCACATTCAGCTCGGATCCCCGTTCCCTGGGCAGCCCGGCGTCCCTCTACTCACGACTGGCGCCCAGAGTCGTCTCTGTCCCCGTCTTCAAAGCCCTCTCAACCCTTTGCTCCCAACCTGAGTCGCCGCCCTTCTTTCCCCCCAGCCCCTCCAGGACTGTGGCTCCCAGCCCCCTTGAGGAGCCCACGTTCCGCCAGTTCCCCCTGCCCCAATTCGCTCCCCCACCCCGCAGAGTCATCTTCCCAGCCTCCCAGCGGTTCCAGCCCCCACCGCCGGCAAATTTAGTTTAGGGACACCCCCCTCCCCTCCGCCTCCCTCCTGTCCAGTCTCCTTTAGAGCTTCTCACTCCCACCTGCCGCAATGTCTCCAACCTTTGATTTCCTTCCAACCTCAGAGTTTAATCCCATCCCTCCCCCACTCCAGCTCTGGTCCTTTTCATTCCCACTCGGTTGCAGTCTCGTTCGCCCCTCTTTTAGCATTTCCTAGGGTGGGTGAGTCTTGGGGTATTGGAGGTAAAAGTGTGTGTGTATACATACACATATATAACGTATGCATTGGTATTATATATGAAATTGATTACAGCGAGGTTCTGAAGCCACAATGTGATTTTCAAGCTGCGGTCTAGAAGCTGGAAGAGTGAAAAAAGAACAAAACACCCTCCACGCCTTACAAGATCACCCAGAGAGAAACCTCTGTGTCCCTAGAATCATCAGATCCTTAGTTTTCATTGTTACTACTTAATTGGAGAACTTTTCATTAGTCTGCACTTAGAGTGTGTGTGGGCTGGGGGCATGCCTGACCGGTGTTTGTGCGCCTAATTTGTATTTTATACTTGGCAGACCCCAGAAGAGATAGAGAGATTGACGGTTGATGAAGACCTCAGTGATGTCGAGAGGGCTGTTTATCTGCTCAGGTATTTCCTAGTCTTTCTTTGAAATTGTTTTTCTCTCCCTGTGGTGGCCTAGCTGAATGCTTTCTGAAATGTCTTGCTTCCCTTGAGTTAGGATTTACTTACCCGTTTGAACAGAAAGCTTGTGCATGTAAAACAGTTAATTATGTTATGGATTTGATTAGGTGTGGGTTTAGGAATTTGAGAGCCGAAATCAAAGGAGATGCCTAACTTATAGTATATTGTTTGGAGGAGGAGAAGCAGGACAATTAACTTTATCCCTTGTTTCTTTGCCAGTTTGGTTTTGCTCACTTTAGATTCAGTAAGTTTAGATGAGACTTAAAGGTATCCAGTGAATAATTTTTCAGTTCATTGTGTAGTGTGAACCTACTATTTACTATATAGGAAAAAGATCAACAAATTTGAATAAGCTGTGTAGGACACTCTGTTTATAGTACTTTTGCGATATGAGTTTTATAATTTTGCCTGAGAATTGCTTTTAAATTTAATTGAGCCTACTTTCATTTAAGTTTCAAACTCACAGTCTCCACAGGATTGCTTTAGGCAAATGGTGTTGCAAACACTGATATAAGATTTTTCTGAATTGTTTAAAATTGCGTTATAGATTTAGCTTCTTTAAAACTTATATAATGAGCATTAATGAGCATATCAATGAAACTTTCAGAAATGGAAAATTTTTCTGAGGCATGTGTGTTTAAAATTCTGCTAATTTAGAAATTTGTTAAATTAAAATTGTGTCGACTTGCACATGTTCTCTCCCTTTTGGTAAATTAGCCTCCACTTTTGTTTTTATCAGAATCAGATGTGGAAAGTGGGTTAGTTACCCCCTAGGATATTCATCATCGTTGTTTCCTTAGCTTAGGTCTACTTTGCTGATTTCAAGGCTCCAGCCAGTTTCTCCTGTGCTATTCTTGTTCATCAATGATGTTTCCAGTTCCATGTTATCCATTGAATGAGTCTATATGAAAAGGAAATTTCCTCTCAGGACGTTTATTTTCTTAATTATTCTTTAGCCAACTAGTGGCATCTTGAGTTTCAGCTCTTGACTTTAATCAGAGTATCTGCATGCCTACCATTGAGACCATGCCTTCCCACAATTCTGTCATTTAACATGGCTTCTGGATCTCAGGCTTTATCTTGATACCACCCCTCTCCCCCTTTCTAGTTATCTATGGTAGCATGCTCTGATCATTTCTACCTGTTTATTTAAAACTTTTATTTATCTATCAATTAATGGTAGGTGTCTTTGGTTTTTACATACAGCATATTCCAACCTTTAGCCGATTCTGATGTTTTATTGGGTTGTATTTGAAGTATTTTGTTCCTTAATAATTAACATATTTAAAGCGATAAACAGTAGTTGTCAACACTTGCCTTTTTTCCAGTTCTTCTATTAGAAGGAGGTAGGCAATTAATTCATGAAAGGTGGGTAAATTTAACATACAGCAGTTAAAGATTTGAAATAAGCCCCGGCTCATTCCTACTCAGTTCTTTAGTATGAACACTGGCTTAGGAAATAGAGAGTCCTGCTCTACTTACTTGTGATAGCAGACACCTTATTCTAGATATCAGTGATAAGGCTTCCTTTTTCAGGAAAGCTGATTTGTTTTCCGCTTTGCTTTTATTGTTGGTTACAGAACCAGGCCGTCTAAGTTTTCTTTATTTTTTCAGACGTAGGACATAAGTTTGACTTAGTTCTGGAACTTACAAAGCCCTTATAGAGTCAGATGGGCCCTGCCATTGTTAGAGAAGAGAGTTTCAAAAGAGATCCAATGTCTCCTTTAGTTTCCTGTGGCTCATCTCCGGTTAAGGAGGTTTGCAAGGTGCCCAGGAAGGGGAACACTAGTTTGGTTGTATTTGGGTTCTCCAGCTGAGTTCTTCTTTTGTATTCCTACCATCTCACCACCTCCTAGGGGAAAGCGTGTTTTCACCTTTGGGCCAGTGTCTGCAGGGATCATGCCAAGACTACCTGAAAGGGTCTTTCTTTCCTGGGATTTGCGGGGGGGCGGGGGAGAGCTGGGTTGTCCCACAGCTTTCTTCCACACTCCCTCTGTTAGGGGCTCCACATCTGCTCTCTTGTATTGAGCTTTTCTTTAGAATGCAATTTATTCCTCCTTAAGAATTTCTTCTTTCTAATGCTATAGAACCTAACACTGACTCCTGTTTTTTTTCTCTGTTCGAGCTTTTTGGTTTACTTTTGAGTGCTATACCTTTTCCTTTTAGGATATTTAATATTCATATATATGTATATAGATAGTCTCTGCTTTTGTGTGTCAGATTTGTTTCTTTAGTTGTCTTACTTTGCATATTAAAATGTTTGGAATATAATGTTAAATTAGAATTCAGAATCAAATGTGTAAGTATCAATAAGAAACCATTTTATGTTAGTGTAGATTCTAATAGCACTTAAATTGAATTCAGTATCTTTAAAAAGCATTATATTCAGAGTACTGTCATCCAATGAAAAACAAATCACACCGTTCATTATCTTACCCTAAAATGTGACAGGTCAGTTATTAATGCCATTTTCACAATTTTTTAGAGCAGTACAGTATTTGAATGCTTGACACAGATGAATTTGTGGTTTTGCATAAATATGATGCTGATATACCCATCTGTGGCATTTAGCACTGAAGCAAAACAGTTTTCCTAATAGTCACAGCTTGTGTCTTAGTCAAAATCATATCATACCATATTTTTCCTGTGTGATTTTAGCATATATTATAGGAATGCACTGAAAATATATGAATAATCTTGAGAAGAGTCTTAAGTATTTTACTGTGCTTTCATTAAGTTAGTCTTTGCATATATCTCTAAATGCCTAGCAGACCCTTAGATCAGACTTTCAGAATACTCAATAAGCAACTCCATCCTGGAGTCCTTCACTTTTAAAAACAGCTTTATTGAATTATAAATTGTGTGTGTGTGTGTGTGTGTGTGTGTGTGTGTGTGTGTGTTTTACTCTGGATTCAACCCCGAGCCTTTGCACTGAGGTATATCCTCACCTTTTTTATTTTTGATTTTGGGACACAGTCTCCCTAAGTTGCTTGGGTTGGGCTCAGAGTTGTGATCTTCCTGCCTCAGCCTCCCAGAGTACTGGGATTATAGGTGTGTGCCCCCCTGCTCAGCTGAGCCCTATGATTTAATGCTTTTTCTATCTTAATTATTTCCTGTGTGTTGTGGCCAAGATGTTTTTATCCTGAGGTGTGACAGCAAAATTAGCACAGTTTTTTTCTTTGTTTACAATTTCTTAGAGGATTCCTTCTTACTGTAGACCTTAAAACTTCAGTGCATGATTTTTTTTCTTTATAGAACACTCACATTTTTATGTAAAAGAAGCATTGCATGGTAAATCTGAATTGTCTTGTGATTTGGGGCCATTTTTAAATAAAATAAAGGTTATCCGAACACAAGAACTGCAGTTGTGCCAGATGGCACAGATGATGAAAGATTTCATAATATTAATTGAGATGGTGCACTATTTAGAACTCATGTATTGTTTATTTCTGGAATTTTCCATGTAGTATTTTCAGATCGTGGTTGACTGTAGATAATTGAAAACTCGGAAAGCAAAACCTGGAGTAAAGCAGGACTACTGTGGCATAGTCTACTCACCCATTTGGCAGTGGGTGGACCTGGGTTTGTTTCCACTCAGGCCTACACTTTTGAAGCAGCTATGCTGGCCTCCTCACTGTCACTCACAGACAGTGTGGTCATCCCTAACTCTGCCTTTCCGTGTCCCACAACACCCTTTTGTTGTACCTACCTGCCATTTATGATCCTCTGGGGCAGCCACACTCTTGCCTCTGAGATGGGCCTTTCGTAACTGCTGAAACCACTTGGTTACACCTCCGTCACCTGACAGTTAATCTTCGCTACACAGGCCTTGACTTGTGTGCATATGTACATTTTCTTTAACAGATTGTAACCTCTTGGAGGACAAGCCTTATTTTATGTTGTTTTGGAATTCATTTTGCCCTTTGCTGTGATATAAATACATTATCTCTTAATGGAAAGAAGATGACCAAAATGCTAGATGAAATAAGCCACTTAGGGTTTTCTCTTTTGTGTTGTGGGCAGTAGACTTGGGCAGACTTTGGTTATATCCTCGTCTCCTTATTCATTATCCTTGTGACCATGGGAAAGGAACTTACAGTTTTTGAGCCCTGGTTTTTTCATCTGTAAAGTGGAAACGGTAATCTTGCTTTCCCAGAGTGCTTGTAGTACACGTGGAACAGCTGGCACAGAGTGGGTACCCAGTTAACGTTCATCCTTTTCTGTCGCCTTTCTAGCTTCCTAGCTACTTAAGTGCTTGAGAGGAGAATGGTATTATTTTTTCCTTCTAATCATTTAATAAAGTAACAAACAAGTAAATATGTCAACTGAAGTTTGTGATAGATTTCCACTGACTTCCTTTACTAATAATACTTATCAGAAATCAGACTCTTCACACGGTATAATGAAGCATTTTTAACTGAGTGATAGTATGGCAGCGTGTTTTGCAGGATTATATCTTCGCGAATGATTCTCTTAAGCAGTATTTACTTTTTATATTATTCATTAAATGTGTTGTTTAATGTACCTAATCCAGTTTGTATCTTGCTTGCTATTAAATTAACTTTTGAGTTTTTTTTTTTTTTTTTGGTTTTTCTTTGGTACCGGGAACCGAACTCACGACCTTGCGCTTGCCAGGCAGGCGCTTTGCCGCTGAGCTAAATTCCCAGCCCCTAACTTTTGAGTTTTAAATTGTTTCTCACTTTATGCTGTGATTTTCAAAACATTTTGCATTTTATCTCCCAGGGATGTCACATAATAAAGTACATCTATAGTTGGGGCTGGTTTCCCATTTAATCAGCCTATTTATTTATTTATTTTAAAGGAGCAAGTGCTCCCCCTAGTGATAGAACAGAATGAGATTTCTGTTGCCAAATCAGTAGATGTAAACGCAGGGCTGTAATTTGTGGTCATGGCTAATCAGTCTGCAAGCTTTGCTGTCCTCTCTT